ACACTATGTGATTTACATAATTTTTACCAAAATTAATCCCAAAATTTGAGACCATCACAACCTTTTCGAAGCTAAAAAAAGAAGTAGATACAATTTTTTTTTTGTATATAACGAGAATCGAACTCAAACTATTTTGGCTAAGAATGAACCCCTTTGTAATGAGCTATGCTTCTCTTCAATGCTGAGGAGGTTCATTTAAGTTATATACTCACAAAAGCATAAGTTTGTCTTGTATATACAGTGTAATTTTTTTTATCTAGGTGGTTGGGGTCCCTAACTTCCACATAGGTCTACCCTTCACCAATCGTTTGTTAATCTGAGATTGAAGTAAAGAGTATAACCGTTTTACCAAAGACACATTCAGATGAGATTAGGACCTAAGTTTTATGGGTCCAATCTAAGGAACTGAGTTTTACGAGTCCAATTTATGGCTCGTGGATCAATTTACGGGCTATAGATTGAACTCATGAAAAAAGACTTGACACTTGATTTTTAGGCCTGATTTTCACATACCCAATCTACTGGTTGTGGATTAATCTACGGACTGTAGATTGAGCTCGTGAAATAAAATTTTAAAGACTTAAAATTACATCCTGAATTTCACATATGGAATATATAACTTGTTGATCAAACCATAGTCCGTAAATGACCCCCGTGAAATATTCCAACAACTTTTTAGTCAACCGTATCCTTTCACCCGTTGAGTCCCAAAGTAAATTTATGTTTTCAGCTAATGATTTCTATAGAATTTAGAGTTCATAAAAAAACAAGATTTAAATTACATGTCCTCTTAAGAGTATAGAAATCATGATTAGTAGATTTACATTCAGTTTCATATGTTTAAAGTCTATTAATTTAGCTTCAATTTATTATTATTATATTATTAAGCTATTCAATTTACTAGAAAAATTCAATTGAGAGTATTATTTAGTACCGTTAAAAATATATTGAAAGACTAGATTTATTGATTAACTATGATTCAATCAAAGTTTTTATTTTATACGGGCTACTAAGAGATGCATTACGTTGATAGAAACTCAAAAAAATCTTTTTTATGAAAGTATTTGAGCGTAATTACTTTTTCTAATAAGGGGTATATCCAGTCTAAATCGCAAAGTTGAGGATATATTTGCATCTTTTCCCTATATAAAATTATAAAATAATACTTTTCTCATCTCAATTTACGTGACACTTTTTTTTCTTCTCGAAGATTCAAGCTATATTAACTTTGAGACGTTGACAACATTATAAAATGTAACATTCAAGTGAGAAGAATTGCAACTTATAATATTTTTCGTTTAGTTTTTAAATATCGCTCTAAGTTTTAATTTTAAAATATTGAATTAATCTAATTTAATGTATTGAATTCCGCAACTACTCAAATTATTATTTTTCGATAATTAAAAAATGTCACATAGATAAAGATAGAAGGAATATACATTTCTATTTTACAATATATATTTTTATTTTATTTTTAAAAAAAAGTTAAAAAAATATGAAAAATTTATTATTGAAGTGAATTAATAGCTAGTACATTTTTGTTACTTGAATCTTCTAGTACAGATTTTATTATTGTACACATGATTCGTACCCCCACTGTAGCACCTCAAAGGAATAACACGTTTTATTCATGTTCGATGGGTATATTATACTCCCTCGTCGATGCGTATTCAAAATTTTGAGATAATAAAAATACATTATTATGATGCATGTTAGTACATTAATCGTGTATTCACGTAAGTATAGAATATTACGTGGTGTTTTATATTACAATTTTATGTCCTATGTGGTGTCTCACATGTATTTTGCATGATATTATGTGGTGGATACAGATATACCGATAGGGCCTAGCTATCAGTACATGTTGTTTGTAATGATACTACTTCTGCTATGCCACTTGGTATAATCCGGTTGCAGTATTCAGTAATGTTTCATAGGTGAAGATAGATAGTGATGATCTCCGATATAACATTTTAACATGTCATCCCGATCCATAAAAGAACTATGCCAACACAAATAAAACTATAATGTACCGACATAATATCGATTCAATAATAATATAATATGTACCGATATGATACCTGATCCAATAAAAATATAAAAGTGAAAGGTGTACAATTATACAGAGACCTAAAAGTCTATATATATATTATAAACAAACTCACATTAATATATTGTGTTCACAAAAAAAGCAAAAAAATGGAGTACAACTTAGTGTTATTATACACAAGTTTAGCAATAGGAATTTTAACCCTAATTTGTGTTCTAAAGAGGGTAAATGGATGGTTTTTTACATTTTTTACAAAAAAATGTAACTTGCCTCCTGGTGACATGGGTTGGCCATTAGTAGGGAACATGATTTTTTTCTTACTAAGTTTCAAAGATAATAATCTTAGCTCATTTTTTACCTACTTTGTTACTAGGTAAAGATATAAAAGTATTAACTTTCAACGATCTATATATATATATAGAGAGTATTTTAAACGTGTACTGACGAATT